AAGGTACGCAACCCTCGTCGACACACTCTCAATCTTTACAACGTTGTTAACGAGAGACTTGTGGACGATAAATCCGACACCTCCTTGGGACAGATGGTCGCCCTCCCGGTAATAGAGCAAGTTGCCGGATTCGAGGATTACCGTGTCCTCCCCCTCTCTTCGGACTTCGGATAATCCTATAATATGCCAGCGTAACTTGTCTATCTCTTCTTCCAGCTCCACAATCTTCTCGTCAGTCCTCAGGGTGCGTGCGTTGTATGTTGCCAGGTCGAGTCGTCGTAGGTGGCAACCGAACCTCCACCGGAGATTCTTAGCACCCCCTGCCCCGCCGTTACCATGGTCGCCACCGTAGCCAGGAATAGCGGGGCCGCCGGGGACTGGGGGCCGTTTATTATTGTCATTGCTCATGGGGGGTATATTGCCATAGTTGCCACGCTTGGCAAGCGGGTTGGCAACCGCAGTTTTTTTTTTATTGTTATTTTGTCTATTATCAGGAAGATGCTGCTGCCCATCTCATCTTTACTTCCCGCATCCCAATTGTCATTACTTCTGGGAGGTTAGCAATTGGCTTGAAATGATTCCTTTAAATATACACATTGACGGTGTGTTGCCCCTTTCTTTTTCGAAGTTGGCTGACATATCGTGTGTCTAGATCTAGATGTAGGTATTTAAATACATATTTTATTAGCTATTGAGTGTTACTCTACATGTGAGCTTAATTATCGCATGGTGTCATTCACATAGAACATAATTGTGAATAGTGTTGAAATACTATTCTTTGAACCTTATACTAAAGTGCTGAATGACCTAAAAACCTAAATTGATGTGAGTTAGAAACTAAACAGAATAAAGTACTACACAATTAAATGTGTGAAAATTTAGTCTAGACTAATTCACAGCCCGTGTGTTTTGCCAGTGGTCAGTGGATATATTATATATACAGTATGCATAGGCCTGTCCCAGTTGGGATGATCTGCTTAATTAAGTCCATCCTCGGACTGAATCTGAAACACTAGAGCCTAGTAACGTTTTCGATATTGTTACTCTATACTCAACACACGAAATACAGCACCATTAAGCTGCTATTTTACGCTGTTATAATTCCCTCCGTAGACTTTTGCGATAACCACTAGCAGTCCACCTGACGTCAAGTGGCTACTGCAGCAAAACTTGCAATCAATGTCAAACAAAAAAGGCTACGCCGCATATTATGCGGCTTCTATAATATGGAATGTCATCTTTTAAGATTAATTTAGTTTTCTTCACAGCCTGTAAAATTATATCACTACTCTTTTCATAACATAGCAGTAGGTGTATTCTACTTCCCCTTCGAACGGGTTCCCGCCTTGTCGTGGCGGGGGGGCTTAGTAGCCGTGGCTTGGTCACCCACGGTGAACAAAGAGGAACCCCTTGGCTGGCCCGTGGTGTAGGGCCGGCCCGAGGTGGCCACTCCGAGTGGGCTTGGCGAGCCCACTTCGGATGTGTGTCGGTGGGCTGCGGTGGGAGGAGTGTCCGCTCCCTCTACCGCTGCAGCCGAGGTGGAGTCGCGGAGGAAGAGGAGTGTTGGTATGGCGATGCGCCACTCGCCCTATCCTCCGCGACTCAAACGGGGCCGCACCGTTGATGCGGTGGTGGTGGGGTTGCGGGGGGGAGGAGTGTCGGTATTGCGAAGCGCCGCTCTCCCTACCCTCCGCAGTCGAATCTTGGTTGGCGGCGGAACCATAGACCAGATCCGCCGCTGGGGTCAGGAAGGCCGGTGCTTCTGAGTGCTAGTTTTTCCTGGCCCCATGGCCTTCGCGCATCGGACACGGGGGCGTCTGTTGCGCATTGGAAATTGGAGGCCGAGGAGGAGGGCGCGCCATGTGTTCTGGTGCGCCTTACCTGAGAAGGAGATGGGGGAGGAATAGTCCTCTCCCGAGGAGAGGCCGCCATGGGGCGGCCAGCGCAGGTGGGGTCGCGGATGTGTGCGAAAGCGTTCCCGTGGCCTGCCAATATGAGACGAAGGTGGAACACCATGGGGTTTTAGTCGGTGCGAGTCCGACATAACCCGTCCTTGCCCCCGCGAGGCGGGTATGCGTAGGGATATCCCCATGTAAAAAAAGGTGTATTCTACTTAGAAATAAGATTGTACCAACCCAGACAAATTAATTTCTTTAGAGGCAAAAACGAAGCTCTACCAACATAGTGCACAGTGATAGCCCAGAACAAATACCAGTATTAGTAAAACTTTTAAAATCTGATAATTTTGATTTGTGATCATACAAAAATATTAAATATTTTCTTTGAAAATCTTTTTAAAAATGTTGTAGTAAATTAAATAATTCTTAAACATAAAACAGCGAAAAATAGGTTCAAAGAGATGAGAGAGTGAGAACAAGAGAGGATGCTTAGTTCACCGCTCTCAAAAATATTCTTTGTAGAATAAGGAACATCCATCGTATTTCCATGTAATAGGAACCTCGTGTGTTATATCAATTACTGAATAATTATGACTATGTCAAATATTAATAATCAATGCAAAATAAGAATCTGGCAAAAAAACATCTTCGGCAGACAGACAATGACTTAATTTCATAAGTGCGGTTTTGCTTAATTTCAACACAGAACTTAAAAAAAAGGAATTTGATTGATGAAGGCTTTTAAATAACTTTAGACATTACAAACATTTAAAGTGAATAAAGATATATTTCTTATATATATTATTAATTCACACAGGTATATCTAATTAACGAGCTTAATATTGAAAATACCAACTTAGTTTTTATTTACCTAAATATAAATCTTCTAGCTACCTTTTCAAGAAAAATATATTTAAATTTTTTCAAACACAGTATATTTTATAGCATTCTATGCAATTCTACCAAATGATACTTCGTTGCTATTTTGAGTTATGGAATCATAGACAATGGCTTTAATCAACAATCAATGCCTCTACTGTGAAGTTAGAAGCCCCGTTCCATATATTAATAGATTTGGAAGTAGAATCAAAAACATACAATAACTTCAAGGTTACATATATTTCAGTACTTTTTTTTTACTTACTTATTGATTTCAAAACTGACAGAATAAATGTCAAATTCCACAGACTGGTGAATATCAACAGCTTTATATCATTACCATTACAGCCCTTCACTAGTCCACTGCTGAACATAGGCCTCCCCAAGGAATGCCACAAAGCACGGTCCCTAGCCACCTGCATCCATCGACTTACCGTATATCTTAGCAGGTCGTCACTCTATCTAGTAGGGGGACGCCTTACACTTCGCCTGCCGGTACGAGGCTGCCACTCGAGAACCTTTCTTCCCCATTGTCGGTTCTTTGAGCTATATGGCCGGCCCAGCCACTTCAGCTTAGTAAGCTGTCGTTGGGGTATGTCGATTACTCTGGTTTACTCATCTCTAAGTTTATCACGCATAGAAACCCCGCGCATAGCCCTCTCCATAGCTCGCTGAGCGACCTTGAGCTTCATCATACGGCCAGCAGTGAAGGACCACGTCTCAGATCCGTAAGTCATCACTGGCAACACGCACTGGTTGCACAATTTCGTTTTAAGGTTTTGAGGTATGTCCGACGAGAAGATGTGTCATAGTTTCCCGAACGCTGCCCAGCCGAGTTGAATCCGTCGATTGACCTCTCGGTCGAAGTTGGACTTACCTAGTCGGACTATTTGTCCCAGGTAAACATACTCGTCAACAACTTCGAGCTTAGTGCTCCCAACAACTTACGGCATAGGTGTGACATGAACGTTACACATGACTTTTATTTTGTCCATGTTCATCTTAAGACCTATCCATTGGGAGACACTATTGACGTCATTCAGCACAGTGCTTAGGTCCTCCAGTGATTCTGCCATAAGGACTATATCGTCGGCAAATCGAAGGTGAGTGATCTACTCACCATTGACGTTAATGCCGTATCCTTTTCAGTCCAGTAGATTGAAAACGTCTTTAAATGCATCGGTGAAGAATTTCACACTGTTTTACACCTCTATGGAGTTGGATAGGTTTCGTACTCTGGTTCTGTACTCGGATAGCCATCGTAGCCCTACTGTACAGACACTTCAGCACTTAGATGTACCGACAGTCAACTTGGCACCGCTGAAGGGACTGCAGCACCGCCCGAATTTCGACGTAACCAAAGGCTTTCTCATAGTACACATACGCAGCTTTATATAATTTGAAATATTAATAATAACTTGAGCTCTTTACACTTAGAACTCAAGTTATTCCATACAGCATATAATATACAGCAATTCTTTTTGGAAATGCATCCGAACAAGCACTTTTTTGGAAGGGCCTATGACCAGGAAAGAATCTTGTGTGCATTAGTATACACTAACACACACTAATACAATGTGTGGCAGATTACTGGCCCAATTACCCTCACAATAAAAATAGTTGTTGTTCCTTTTAGTCTAACATTTACATATATGTAGTAACTTTACTTTGATTAAAACTAATTTTACGGATTTTAATGCGTGGTAGAGTGGTTCCTCTCGTAATCATGGGTACTGTAAAGCATCCGAAAAGTCCGGAATTATAATAAGTAAAAATAATTTAAATTAAACGCGATAATATACGTAAAATAAATCTTATTCAATATACAGGGTCATTTTTCAGAGTAGCCAAATTTTAAACTTAAGTTCAAATATATAAATAATGATATACCGTTATTGCAGTTTTTGAAAATACGAGTAAATAAGGCTTCTACTTTTATTTGAAATTTTCCCAATTTGAATGTGATTTATGGGCAACAACGTTTTTGCCTACCGATCGACCCTTACGAATGTGTGCGTGCGAGGTAAAATCAGTTAAAATAATGCATCACCACGCATTTAAAAATTTTGAATTTAAAAGATTGAGATTTTTTCAATTAATTGTTTCTTCACCATTTGCCTATATATTGCCTCTGAAACTTCTCTGCAAATTTGGCCGGTTATTGCAAAATAAACCGATATAGTATTTATGTAAATATAAGAAATCTTTAGTTACTTTACTTACATAAGACGGTCAGGATACTGCTGCAACAACCGTCCAGCGGCCACATAGTCGCTAATCATGTCAGCGCAAAGCAACTCTGGTTTCCAGCAGTCTGGTGCTGGTTGACAGAAGTTACGATGTTGTCTCGATTGCATCACCCCACGTGGATCACGAATCAACAATATCACCTTAACATTAAGCCTGCAAATAATTCATTAATAATTAAGAGTTCAGCTTTTTTTACGAGGCAAAGTCCCCATTCGTGCTACAACTATACTACTAATATAAATGCAGCCCATATTAGTAGTATAGTTGTAGCACGAATGGGTTGTCTCGACCGGGCAAGGACCACACTCACAGAATACCAGCGTAAAATAGCAGTTTAACACTGCTGTGTTTCGTATGGTGAGTGTAGAGAACCGGAGATCCTTTTTATCTACTGGAAAAGAGACATTTCATCTACGTCACGGGTGACAAGCGTAGCAAGCAATTCGTAATGGAGTATATAGATGGCTATGGGCCACTTTCCATCAGGTGGACTGGGTGCTCGTTTGTCACCTTTATCCTATAAAAAAGCAAACATTAAATTTGCGGCTGCTTCTGTAAATTCATGTGCATAATGTTACAAATAACAGTGATAAAATAATTTTTCATACCTACTTCATTATAAAAATTTTAGAGTACTGATAATACACTGATAACACTCTTATTATGTTAATAATCAATTCCAAATGTTTCATAGTTAAGAATGTAGAATGTGAAAATACTCCTAGTATGTACCATAATTTAACCATGTTTACAAAAATACTAGACATTGATGATAATGCTGATTTAACTTATTTTTGAATCCCAACGTTACGAGTGCTTTGTCACAGGACATGGTCACAGGAGGACTGAGGGTATTTGACATATCAAATCGTTTTACCGTCAGCATTACAGCCTTTCACAAATTCGCTGCCGAACATAGACCTTCCCCAAGGAACGCCACTAAGCACAATCTAAGCCATCTGCATCCGTCAAATTACTGTATTTCTTACAAGTTCGTCACTACTTCTGGTGGAGGACCACCTTACACTTCGTTTACCGGGACGAGGTTGCCACTCGAGAACCTGTTTTAACCGATTGGTTGTCGGTTCTTCGAGCTATATGGCCGGTCTATTGCCATTCCATCTTACTGATCTGTACGACTAGAAGACTCACGCAGAGAATTTCTGAGCATAGCACGTACCTAGTCGGACAACGTCCTAGGTAAACATGAATAATTCGTCAATAACTTCTAGCTCTCAGAACAACTACCGGCATAGGTATGACATGTACATAAAACAGAACCTTTGTTTTATCCATGTACACTTCAAGACACTATTGAGCATAATGTCAGCTACCCGAAGGCGAGAAAGTTTTTCGCCATTGATAATGATATTTTGTTTTCTGCTTTAAAAACGTCTTTTAATGGAGCGGCAGCTCCTCGATATACCGACAGTCAATCTGGCAGCGCTGTAGGGACTATAGCACCGCCCAAATTTAGACGGAATCAAATGCTTATTTGTCCACATACGCAAGACAAAGTGGCTGTTTGTACTCTTCAGGGATTTCGGTACAATTTGCCAAAGAGTATGTATATATGGTACTAAAGTTTTTTTCAGATACTGGCTTGTTCGGAAGGCAGGAAGTCGCCGTCAAGATAATTCGTAACGATACTCAAAAACAGCATGCAAATGCGCCTTGAAGGAAATTTGTCTGCAATTCTTCAACAGTATTGATTTCTTATATTTACGCGAACACTACACATTGAATAAAACTATTTTTTTTACGGATTTTATCGCGTTTAATTTACTTATTTTATATTCCCGACGTTTCGGTTGCTTTCCAGCAACCATGGTCACGGGGGACTGAGGTGATTGACGTCCCGATGTCAAAGTTAACCCGGAGTACCTTCAGCTTTTTAATTATTAATTTTGGTCCGATCTACGCAGAATGAACTAACTGTGTCTTGAAGTCTTACAGTGGTATGCTTGGGTTTAGTTTTAATTTTATGAATTACAGGATCCCAAGCAGGTGGTAGTACCCAGCCTCCCTCTCTATTGAAATTAGGATGTTTTTTAATTTCAATAGCCTCACGTATCATCCTTGGCAGGAATCGATGTTCTTTCGCGAGGACTTGTGGTTTATCAAATCTAATGTAATGACGGGGGCCGTCTAGGATATGATCACAAACTGCAGACTTCCCGGAACGTTGGTGCTTCACGTCAGCTATGTGTTCTTTATAGAGGGAATATAAAATAAGTAAATTAAACGCGATAAAATCCGTAAAAAAAATAGTTTTATTCTTCAACAGTGTTGTAGCTTTTCTTGAAGAACAAGGCCCTCACACTTCTGCTCCACGACTTTGGAGTAGTGCCATGATGAAGAATGGAATTAAAGAGCTTCTGAAGGACTTTAAATACTGGTTGTCCACTCGTTTCTAGAAGCTTCGCTTTAATTCCAACCTCCCCGCCATTACATTAGATTTGATAGACCACAAATCCTCGCAAAAGAACACCGATACCTCCCAAGGATGATTCGCGAGGCTATTGAAATTAAAAAACATCCTAATTTCAATAGAGAAGATGGATGGGTGCTGCTATCTGCTTGGGATCCCATAATTAATAAAATCAAATCCAAACCCAAGTATACCACTGCTAGACTTCAAGATACTGTAAGCTCATTCTGCGTAAATCGAACCAAAAATGAATATTAAAAAACTGAAGGTAGCCGGGCTAACTATGACAGCAGGACGTCAAACAACTCAGTCCCCCGTGACCACGGGTGCTGGAAAGCACCCGAAACGTCGGGAATATATAAAAATAAGTTAATATACGCGATAGAATCCGTAAAATTAGTTTTATTTAAAACACTATAATGCTGTCCTGCGAACTCCGTTGAGGCTGGCCGCCGTGACTGAAATTTGGTCTGAAGAACATTATTATTTTGTTATATATACGACGTTGGTTTTTGGAGGAATGCACGATTCTTAAGATATGTCCTCATACATCGTTATGGTATTGGTAATTCAGAATATATGATATGCAAATCTCATCAACACACTCCCGATATTGACCGTGTTGTTAATGAGAGCCTTGTGATCGACAAATCCGACACCACCTTGGGACAAATAGTCACCCCATCAGTGATAGAACAAATTGCTGGATTTGAAGATTACGGTGGCCTCCCCCGCACCTTCGGACCTAGCCCCAGTGCAACTTGTCTATCTCTTTTTCTAGTTTCGGATCTTTTCATCCTCGTCGTCCTATCGTCGTCGTCTCTCTCTCTCTCTTCAAAGTACGACTCTAAGATACATCGAAGACCCTAGTGTAGATGACAGGTCAAGAAGTGGTCGCCCTCGGTCTGTTAGAACTCCAGCAGTGATAAAAGCTGTGAAGGCGTGAATTCAAAGAAATCCCAAACGTAAGCAGAAACTGTTGGCCCTTCAGATGGGGTTAAGCAGAACCACGGTGAAAAGGGTGTTAAATGAAGACTTAGGGCTTCGGGCATATCGAAGAAAAACAGGACATCGTTTGAATGGACCTGAGACTGAAGAGATCCCGCGCTTTGTTGAAGCGGTACGGGGGAAAAAATATCAGGAAATTCTTTTTTCGGATGAAAAAATTTTTACCGTAGAAGAGAGCTACAACAAACAAAATGATAAGATGTATGCACACAGTAGTGAAGAAGCGAGCAAACGTATTCCGCGTGTCCAACGAGGTCATTTTCCATCCTCGCTCATGGTATGGTTGGGAGTTTCTTATTGGGGCTTAACAGAGGTACATTTTCGTGAGAAAGGTGTAAAAACGAATGTAGTTGTGTATCAAAATACAGTCCTGATGAACCTTGTGGAACCTGTTTCTCATACCATGTTCAATAACAGGCACTGGGTATTCCAACAAGATTCGGCGCCAGCTCATAGAGCGAAGAGCACACAAGACTGGCTGGCGGCGCGTGAAATCGACTTCATCCGGCACGAAGACTGGCCCTCCTCCAGTCCAGATTTGAATCCGTTAGATTACAAGATATGGCAACACTTGGAGGAAAAGGCGTGCTCAAAGCGTCATCCCAATTTGGAGTCACTCAAGACATCCTTGATTAAGGCAGCCGCCGATATTGACATGGACCTCGTTCGTGCTGCGATAGACGACTGGCCGCGCAGATTGAAGGCCTGTATTCAAAATCACGGAGGTCATTTTGAATAAACTTTAGTGTCATAAGAATCTATGTTTTGTTAAGTTCATTTTGGTATATAAATGGTTACATAATGAATAAACTTGTTTCAATTATTTTATATTAAACATGTGACAGAATTTATGACCTGACTAGGTATATATAAATAAACTTCGCAGTGAATGTAAACATAGTGAGAAAAACTGCCTATCAAGGAAATTTTAAATAACAAGAAGTAAAATTTACTATAACAAATGTTGGTGCAGCTAAGCAGGACACTTCCCTGCTTCAAAAACTAGGTCTGCAATATGAAATTAAATTAAATAGGTATATTTATTTCTTTCTTTAAGAAAATAAATTTCATGAAAAATGTCATTTTTAAACCTACAAGATCTACTACAGTTTTAAAATGAGATTCCTCTAACAGGTGAAGAAAAAGCAAAAGAAACTTCCCAGGTATCCTCTTCTTTATGTCACTTTTTAAAAGTTAATATTACATTACATAGTATATATACAGAATGTAAAATGACAACAGGCCCATTGCCAACTAATCGGTATGATGTAGTAGGTATTCAAAAAAATACAATTAAAAATTTTGTTGATACATATTATATAGACTATTACAATTTACTTTATTTGGAATAAAACTAATTTTATAGATTTTATTGCATTTCATTTTAGCTTTTTTAATTCCCTACCTTTCGGGCACTATAGCCATGGTCACAGGAGGGATTGTGGTGTTTGATGTCCTGATGTCATAGTTAACAAAGATTACCTTCAACTTTTAATGTTTTTTTTTTGTGGTCTGATCTACGCAGATCAAGCTTACAGTATCTTGAAGTGACCATGGATGCTATGAAGTGCTGGAAACATTGGGATATATAAAAGTTAAAATTTAACATGATAAAATCCATAAAATTAGTTTTACCATATGCAGTAAGTATTTGTGTAAATATAAGAAATCATTAAGTATATTTACTTTATTTGTTATTGATTTATGGAACGGTTTCAAGTACATATTAAAAACCGACTAAGAGTGATTTGAGTAATAAAAATCTTTTTGAGAATTTTTTGAAGTAAATAAAACATATTAACAGACAGCAGTTCAAACTGAATTATACCAATGCTTCAAACAACAGATTGGTTATTGCAACAGAATAGCTGGGTTCCAGTCAAGTTCCCATAAAAACATAAGCACAAATTTTTATTGGCCATTTAAACAGAAATTAATATGAATTACATACATATATTAATATCTTGTAGGTATTATCACATATCCCCAGTTGGATAGTCCCTCTGATATGATCATTTTTAATAAGCAATTTCAAATGTAGTTTGCAATGGGACATTTTGTTACATTTTAATAGCAACATAATTAGGAAAAAAGTGTCTATTCATACGATAATCGGACAGTTAATTATTTCTTATTTATATGTTTATCGTATGATTTGTTTATTTTTATTGGTCTGATAAATTTAAAAAGAAAAAAATATATAAAATAAAAAATACTTTCAATAATTTTAGACAATTTAATAAAATAAAGTATATATACATACTTACTGTTATGATTAGGCCTTGCGTCTCATAAAACATTACACAAATTATACGACTTGACGGGCTGACTTAAAGCTGTGTGCATTATAGAGATATAAAATATAATATTAAAGGCATTGAAGTTTTTAATTTTAAAAATTATGGAATGAAAAAGTATTTTCTATATATATGATTATTGAATGAATAATAATTTTTTTATCATACGATTATCGTATGATTAGGAACAGCCATTAGGTAAACATTGTTTTTAAACTTTAAGCCCATGTGTTTTAGATATTTAAAATGTGAAATGTAAATGAAAAGTGAGCAGAAATCTTTCTTAAATACTCACTCTTTGTCCTGCAATATCTCCTGAACTAGACGTAATCTTACACGAACAACTTTCATACTTTGAAAGGGGAACAGTCTACAAAACTTTGCAGTAAATTCAGAATCAAAACACAATTCTTTCTTAAATTTACAGTGGTCCCATAATCTAGTATTGTGACTGAATTGGTGCAAATGCGTTTTCCCATATTCAAAATAATCTTCCATGTCATCATAGTTACATTTAAGCATCCTCTTTATTGTTTTTAAAGCCTTGTCAGAATGTGGAGGACCTCTTATCTGTATGATTTCATATTTTAAAAGAGGCTCATAGTGGTAAAATGTTCCAGGCATTGAATTTAAAATCTCTCCAAGAAAAGTTGTACCTGATCTCCAAGTGGAAATTATAAGACTCCTTAGAGGTCGTCCACCAGATTCCATAAGAAGATCTTCAAGCCGGTGGACTCCAGATATAGTATAATTGTAATTCCACAATTCAAATTTGATTTTAGACCGCGTTTTCTCAATTATTTTCTCGATGTTAGGAGAACCATCATAAGGGTTCGTTGGTACTGACTGTAGGAAGTTGTCTTCTCCATCATCTATTTTTAAAAAGTTTTTGATATTTCTACGGTTTTCAGAGGACGGACGATAATTTGTGTTATCTGTATATCGACTTCCAGCAAGAATTAGGAGAACACTGAGACCAAATGCGATACATATTGAATAAAAGTTAACTCGTCGCAACATCACTAATAAAATAAAATAAAATAATTAATAAAAAGCGATGTTTCAAGGCAGGAGTAATTTTTATAACACAAATACTAACGGGACAGACTTAATATCATATTTTTAAAGTTTTTCTTTGAGTTTGAATCATGATTCCCGTCCTAACGTTTCCGCGGAAACACCGCATTGCACCTTCACCATCTTACATGAATGACGTATGTGTGTCAACTGTCACTGTCAAACTTGAAAGTTTTTAACAGCTGTCACATTTTTTTTAATAACTGGCTTTACGGCTCTGGGTTCTAGCCTTTCTGAGCCAGAAGTTACTTTGTATAATTATTCTTCATATTACACACTTCATAACATGTTGATGCGTCACATTGGGCAGCCCTTGGGAGATTTTGACCGCAACTTGAGCCAGCAGACAGCTTCCAGTTGGCAATGGTATCTCAAGGCGCCTAAGCAGACACCTTATCTTGAGAATCACATCGCCATCAGAGCACTTGTTTCACCGTTTCCACTAATAGTTCACATGCGCTGACACTTAATACACAAAGTTGCACCACTTTTACATATCAAAATTCACTTCAAACCAATATTTAAACAATAATACAGGAGCAGCAAACCGCCGCCGGCCAAATTCCCGCCAAAACTCCAGCTATCACTTACGATTAACGGCTTCGACAAAGTATCAAACTGAACGTAGTCATAAGACATTGTCATTGCCACTCTTATTACTTATGACCATCTTTGTTTATTCCACCTATATTAATTGGCAAAGAGCCGTTTAATATAGCTTTGACAAAGAACGCCGTACTTTCTGTGTAAATCGTGTCAGTTCATGACCGACTAGTCGGTCAAAACATTGCGGTAAAATGTATACAACTGTGAGAGTAGGAAATTTAAGTGTTTAACTTTTTTCACTGCTAAAATTTATTATTATATTATTATTATTATTATTTTATAAGTTATTTGTTTTAAATCAATAATTACAATAATAAAAAAACATTAAATAAATTAAATGCACTGTTTAAATCAATTATGCTAGTGTAGTGTAGGTACATCTACACCAAATAATTTAGCTTTTCCGATAATATTTTTGTTACCGTTTTTTTATTGCAACAATTTCTTTTAGATTTTCAAAATGCCCATAATTGAGACATGACTATTAAATGAAGCTAAGTTTTACGGATTTTATCGCGTTTAATTTATTTTTTTAATTCCCGCGTGAAAGAACATATAGCTGACTTGAAGCACCGCCGTTCCGGGAAGTCTGCAGTGTGTGAACATGTTCAAGATGATCCCCCCTATTACATTAGATTTGATAGACCACAAATCATCGCAAAAGAACACCGATTTGAAATTAAAGAATATCCTAATTTCAATAGAGAAGGTGGATGGGCACTGCCAATATCCAAGGCTTTGTTTAAAATATTTAGATAAATCCTGTTTTATTGCCGGTTTATCGATAAAAAAGTGAAAAATGATATCATTCCAACTGATATAAGAATAGCTGCCACCCCGTATCGTTCCATGGGTGTTGTAAGCGGTGACAGAGGGAAATTGAAACAGAAGATGAGCATGATATTTCCAATAACTCATCAATGCAATTCATATACACAATCTCAAATAGTGGTAACAAGAAAACCCACTGCCTACATTTCTAAGTCAAATACGGTTTGACAGTTATTCTTTTCCGCAGGAAGAACATCCATAACTAGATCAGAAGGTTCTTCAAGACGTGAGGTACACTTTTCTCATTATGTTGGTAAAAACTTTTTATATAAACACCTCTTTAGCTGAATACGTGAACCAGAAATGGAAATATAATTAAACAACTGAACTAGACTTTTAATACTTCTATTTTCTATTTCTTAGCACCGACTTCTGAAGCGAACGAAAATTATTGTATTTTTTTAGTTTATTAAAGTCCGCTTTTTACTTTTTACTAAGAGTATAATTCTTCCCTTAACCGTTCATCATTACAGCCCTTCACAAGTCCACTGCTGAACATAGGCCTCCCCCAAGGAATGCCACAAAGCACGGTCCTGAGCCACCTGCATCCATCGACTTCCTGCATATCTCACCAGGTCTTCACTCCATCTAGTGGGGCGTCGCCCTACACTTCGCCGACCGGTACGAAGCTGCCACTCGAGAACCTTTCTTCCCCATCTGTTGTCGGTTCTTCGAGCTATATGGCCGGCCCACTGCCACTTCAGCTTACTAATCCGTTGGGCTACGTCAATTACTCTGGTTCTACTGCGGATATCCTCATTTCTAAGTTTATCACGCAGAGACACCCCGAGCATAGCCCTCTCCATAGCTTGCTGAGCGACCTTGAGCTTTCTCATACGGCCAGCAGTGAAGAACCACGTCTCAGATCCGTAAGTCATTACTGGCAACACGCACTGGTTGTACAATTTTGTTTTCAGGTTTTGAGGTATGTCTAACGAGACGATGTGCCGTTATTTCCCGAACGCTGCCCAGCCGAGTTAAATCCGTCGATTGACCTCTCGGTCGAAGTTGGACTTACCTAGTCGGACTATTTGTCCCAGGTAAACATACTCGTCAACAACTTCGAGCTTAGTGCTCCCAACAACTACCGGCATAGGTGTGACATGGACGTTAAACATGATTTTTGTTTTGTCCATGTTCATCTTAAGATCTATCCGTTGGGAGACCCTATTGAGGTCATTGAGCATAGTGCTTAGGTCCTCCAGCGATTCTGCCATAAGGACTATATCGTCGGCAAATCGAAGGTGAATGATGTACTCGGCATTGATGTTAATACCGCATCCTTTCCAGTCCAGTAGCTTGAAAACGTCTTCCAATGCAGTGGTGAAGAATTTCGAGGATATAACATCACCCTGTCTTACACCTCTCTGCAGTTGGATAGGTTTCGTACTCTGATTCTGTACTCGGATAGCCATCGTAGCTCTACTGTACAAACACTTCAGCAGTTCGATATACCGACAGTCAACTTGGCACCGCTGAAGGGACTGCAACACCGCCCAAATTTCGACGGAATCAAAGGCTTTCTCATAGTCCACATACGCAAGAAAGTTTCAGATTACACTCCTCTATCTTCTGTACAATCTGCCGCAGGGTATGCATGTGGTTTATGGTACTAAAGCCTTTTTGGAAACGGGCTTGTGCGGGAGGCTGGAAGTTGTCAAGTCTGCGTGCGAGACGATTCGTAATGACTCTCGAAAACAGCACGTAGACCCGGCTCAGAAGGGAAATCGGTCTGTAGTTCTTCAAGAGAGCGTTGTCGCCTTTCTTGAAGAATAAGACCACCGCACTTCTGCTACACGCTTTCGGAGTAGTGCCACCATGGAGGACGGAATTAAAGAGCTTCTGAAGGACTTCAAGTACCGGTTTTCCACCCGCTTTCAAAAGCTCCTCTGTAATTCCATCCTCGCCCGGGGACTTGCCGTTTTTAAGGTGCTGGAGAGCCATTCTAATCTCGCTCATACTGACGTCCGGGATATCTTCGCAATAGTGTCGGATAAGACTCGCTGTTGGATCGTTACTCACACTTGCGTGTGGCTCCAACGATGACGTATACAGCTGCCCATAGAACCTCTCAATCTCACTCAAAATCTCAGGTGCCCCGGAAACAATGCTGCCACACTCGGTCTTCAGCTTTGACAGTTGGCTCTTTCTGGCAGACAGATCTCTGGCAAAGACTTTGGAGCCTTGGTTCCGCTCGATCGCTTCTTCATTACAAGCTGTATTGAAGTTGGGTAAGTCCCGCCGCATGCATTTGGAGACCTTTGGAGACCGTTACCTATAATAATATTAGTTAAATATTAAAAATATTATTTATTTCTTAATAAAAAAAATTAAAATATTTTATGTCAAAATTTGGGTCAATATAGTGGGTCATTAACACTCAACGTACGTGTAGTAATTTTCTACCCTCATAAAGACCGCGAAAGCATAAAACCAATATACATTCTGAACCTGTAAATTGGTTTTAGGGTTTAGCGTTAATATATCTTATTCCTTAATGATTAATATACTATTAGACATTTAAGGAGTAAGCTAGTATACTAGCTGTTGCCCCCTGTGTCACCTGTATGGATAAATTCTAAATTAGTGCACCCATTCTATTGTGTTTTATTACATACTAATATGTTTATTATCGGCATGATAAAAATTATAAAATTTACAAAACTACAGTGGAAGTGTATTCAGTTTTAAATTATACAATCGCAATTATTTTTTATGTATTGATCGCATTGTGATTGTATTTTATATTTGTATTTAAATATACATATAAAATAATATTAAATAGTCGATTTCCAATTAAAACGCATATCATTAATTGCAGTATTATTCAGTCGGCAATCTAGATAACATAGTCACTTCTATAGTCGTGCACACTAATGCATACCCACACTGTCAACTCACAAATAACGGCACGTTAAAAACCAAAAGACTGTTCAGTATATATGTATGAGGTAGGGGAGGAAACCTATTGGTACAAATCACAGACTACTAATACTAAGAGGATAATACGCCTGAACATATATATTTTGTTGTTAATGATGTTCGGGTCCGAGATGTTTAAATCGATTGTTTTGACTGAAAAAATATTTCGATGGTTCTTAATGATTTGCTCCGCTGTCGACTATTGTCGGCAATAGACGCATCATATTAATCTGTGGGCAATAGTCACGAATGTAACACCTCGAACACAGTCACATGTCGATGTTGATGGGCCGTCCGGCGAGTTCAAGTAAAGTAAAAAGTAAAGTTGCAGCCTATTTACGTCCCACTGCTGGGCACAGGCCTCCTCTCATTTCTGAGAGAGTTTTAGGGCAAGGGAATGTCCGCCGCGCTGCCCTAATGCATGTTGACTAACTTCACATCTCTTCGAAATATTTTTTTCCTTATTTCTCAGACATGCAGGTTTCCTCACGATGTTTTCCTTCACCGCCGAGCACGTGGTAAATCAGCACTTAAAATTGTAATTAACAATTTAATTGGTGCCGGCGGGGAACGAACCCGGGTTGTTCAAGATGTTTAATGGCGAGTTCAAGATGTTTAAACAATCGAAGGAAAACAATTGCAGTCGCTGCCACCGAGTGCGAATTCCACTTTTTTTTAGAAATATCTAAGAAATAATTTACTATTAACATATTGCAGAAATTCGATGTATGCCGGTGTCATTCCTTAGGGGAGACGTAATTTGAATACGTTAATAATTGGATTTTTAAGAGGAAAAAGTTAAGCATTCTTTATTCGGAACTGTATCTTCCAAGTCGTTAGTCGAGTGCGTTACCATCAGGCATGTATATACTTTCCTCCTATTTAGTACTATTAAAAAGGAAATCTGATTATACATCATATCTTCATATCTTCATTTTGTAATGCCTACATCATATCTATTAGTAAACACGCAAATAAGCTAAGAGCGAGTAGTCCACTAAACTGCCGGTTTGACGCTTATTTATCTATGGTTTGACGTATTCTCAGGTACGTAACTTGACATATTATACGACTCATTGACTCGACGTAGGCAAAAACAAGTGAAAGAATGTAGTTGAGAGTGGAGTCTGATTGTTCGAATAACATTTCATTTGTTCAGTTGGAATATTGCTTGTATGAATTTTTATAATTCATTACCTCGTTTATTTAAGAAATGAAAAGTAAGAAAGTAGACTTGCTCTTAAAAATATATTAAAAACAACACAATTAAACAACTCAGTTTTTTAGAAGATTTTTTGAGCTTAATTGTTTACTTTGAATATAGGCCTCCCGCAAGGAATTCCACAAAGCAAGGTACTGGGCCATCTACATTCATCGACTATCTGCACCTCTCACCAGATCGTCACGTGCACGTGCACTATTTAATGAGGGGTGCCATCCACTTCGCTTACCGGTACGAGACTGCTACTCGAGAACCAGTCTTTCCTATCGGTTGATAGTTCTTCGAGATATATCAGTGATCGTTAACTGTTAATTATCTAGGCAAATCAAAAGTATTTTAATCAATGAGGTGGTTAGCTGTTTTATAATAAATGCACTTGTGCGTTTCTTTTTTGACCAAACACCAGTGCTTCCACGTCCCATAGAAAACGACATAACAATAAGACTTCGGGTTCTTAAGTACAGATTATGTAAATATAAAATACAGTGTTAATTTATTGTATTATTTATTGGTGTGAAACCTAAATAAAAAAAAATCAAATTGAAAGCTTTATCGCAGTTTCAGTGATCTAAACTTTATAACCAACAATATGCATTTTTCCAATAGTTTCACCCATGAAAAACCATAAACCCACTTCCGTGCACATGAGAAGCAAAAGCCAGGCTTGTTTTACCGTCAAATACTTGTAACATCCAGATTTGATAAAGTCCTTAACAAGTTCCACATCTTCTTGCAATTTCTGAAATAAAATTAAGCAAACATTAAAAATACAAAAAGCTATTCGGTGAAAGGAAGCACACGTCTCTAAAGTATCTTATTACTATCATCATCAAAGTCGATTGAGCGTAGGCCTCTTTTAAGGAACGGTTTTTCACGTGGTAGAGCCATGCTGCAGCTATATTAGTAGTATAGATGTAGCACGAATGGGTCGGCTCGACCGGGGAAGGACCACGCTCTCACAGAATACCAGCGTAAAATAGCAGCTTAACACTGCTGTGTTTCGTATGGTGAGTGTAGAGAACCGGAGACCCTTTTTACTGGAAACGAGGCATTCCATTTTAGTCCTCACGGGTGACAACGCATCTGCATTTTGATTCTTAATCGAAGATAGATGTAGATGTCTATGGGCCACAGCAACCACTTACCATCAGGTGTTCTGTGTGCTCGGTTGTCACCCTTATTCTCTTAAAAAGCATGCTAGTATTTTTTTTAAATAAAAAGAAATAAAAAATGCGCTCATTGCCACTCCAGTTTATGCTGTTATATCTGTTGAAGACTGCATCAACAAAAAGTAAAGAGTCTTGCAGAACTTAGATATGACCGCATGGGCAGTAACCACGAGTTTGTCATTTATATAGTCCACTGACTGCAATCTTCTAGGCACTAAAATGATTTTGTAATTCGACCTGAATGTTATCTGGGCTCAAGCTGGAACGGAGCTTTAAACTTATTGAAAGTGACCTTCGGTGAGGTTCAGTGTGTCTCTTACCATTCGATGATCGCTGAGATCGCCCTTTCGATCACTGAGACATTACTGAACAGTTGCCGTCTGGTCGTTATAATGAATTTACAATCTCATTTTTCGTTTAACCGTTGGGGCTAGACTAGATCTATTTACTGTGTTGGTGCATCGGAAGAAAGAGTTCCATATAAATAGCTGACCCTTACGAATATGTGCTTGCGCAGTGAAATAGTAGGCGTTAGATATTTATGAATGACAATCGGTTAAAATAATGCATTACTACGCATACTGAATTTAAAAGATAAAATGGACAGAACGTGTAAGGTTTTTTTATTAATTTTTCTTCACCTTTTGCCGCTAGTGCTTATTCTGAACCTCCTCAGACAGTTTGACCAGTAATTGCAAAATAACCCTGAATAGGTACTTACATTACTTTCAACAATAAGCAAGTTTTAAACAAAGTTTCATTTATTTAGCGATTTCCAATAGGCCGTTTCAAAAGAGCTAGCTTTAACAACTGTGTTCGCTATTAGGGTTTGCCCGTGACCCACTCAGATAGTACAATATATTATAATAGGAATCTTTCGTATGATACATCGACCCCTAGCGACTAATGACTCCTAGTAAGCTTAAATGATTGTATTAGGAGAGGTTCACGACAGAAGTCGAATGGCGGATTGGAACCCATGCTTCAATGCGCCTGCAATTAGGCTACTGTCGATTAATGTCTTTTTTCATCCTTTCCACACGCCCGACTTTTGATTATAACATTAGTCTTCTTCATCAACCGTCTATCGATATCTCCGATATCTCACGCTGTAGGCAGGATTTGTCTGACTCGTCATGCTTGGTTGATAAACTGATGATTGCAGTTACGTGTCGGCCTTTGACGCTGCTACCAGTCGCAGGGCTGGGTATTTTACGTCTGTCATTATCGAGGTTTTATAGCACCATCTATCCTTAAGATTTTTCTAGCATTTCCTATATTGGCCTCTTCAACAAAGACGGGACGAAATGAGGTGATAGATTTTTATATATTGTATTAGTTATTTGCTAATTTTTATCATTGAATTGCTTCGTAACTCAAATGTTGTGTTAAGATATTAAAGTTAAAAAGTTAAAGTTACAGCCTATATACGTCTCACTGCTGGAAACAGACCTGTCATTTCTGAGAGCACTTAAAATTGATTAACAAATTGGTTCCGCCGGGGATTGAACTAAGATTGCTCGCGTTCTGTGAAATTTACAACGAGCGCTTAGTATCTGAGCTATCACGGCTCTTGTTTAAGGCGACACATCGAAAACCATTCAAGTATGCTATCGCCGGACTGACCAGTGAGTGAAACATAATTTCTATAATAACTTCAAAAACGCCGCCATTAGGTCTAAAATTGCGTAGCGCCCGCGACGATTCAGACCGCTTAGAAATCGCTTAGAATCTTAAAATATTTTTAAAAAATTATTGATTTTAGTAATCAAAATAATGAGCAACTAAATTACGAAATGTTATGAATGTATTTGAGTGATTTCCAAGCATATAGATTAAGTAATTTTGTTGTAATTTCAACTATAATGATTTTTTAGAGGTGTTTTTGCAAATAATTATGATCGAGTCAAAATTTTACAATCGTGTTTTTGAACAAGCAAATTCAAGATAAAAGCATGAATTTACCCATATCAAAATTCCAGTTTCGTTAGTCGTGTCATACTCCTATACTATTCGATGAAAGGAGGTGCATTTTTTCACGGTGTCGCCTTAAGGTGACACTAGTCGACATTATTTCCATAGAAATTTCGGAGGGGTTTTACTCCGCTGTTTGACAGTGTACATCCAAAATTAAACATGATATCGTTTTGTCTCATTATTAAATTTGTCTGTACGGAAACAGAATAGTAAAATAAAATGTTATTAAAAAGTTACGAGCTACCAAAGATTCGTTTTTATTGCCAATTTTAACACAACTTTGGGCGTAAATTAGTAATAAAAGAAGTGAAAAATTTCCAAAACAAAGTCGGTACCGACACAACTCAATTATCGAAGAGCTCAATAAATTTTATTTGTAATTGATTAATGTAGTGGTTTTTTCATAAAACCCCTTCTTCCAAAGGCCTTTTCGTATTTTTTTACGCGCGCATGTTACTATGAATTATCGTGCATCTCACTGAATAATGTCTCCCCCGGTGCGGTGCGGGAGGACGATGCTTACACACACATGCACAGGCGGTGACGTGCGCTTATATTCGAGTTTTATTCGAAACGAAAAGTTTTGCTATTTTGTAATTTGGACGCCAAAGACAAAAGACGGCATGGAAATTGATATAATTTAAAGAGATGATGCGTTTTGGACGACAGACAATATTTTAAAATTTTCGTCTGTAATATAACATAATTATAAAAGTAAAAAAAGTAAAGTCTATATTCGATTACTATATAAAATTGCAACAATTTCATTGGTGCCGACGGGGATCGAACCCGGGTTGCTCGCGTAATGTGATACTTACACCGAGCGCTAACCATCTGAGCTACCACGGCTCTCAATGCAAGTGTTATAAATAAATAAAGAATTACAAAACAGTTTAATTATTTATTAGACGACTTTTGCGGCGGACAAACAAAGTATATTATGTGGGATTTTCATAGGTACCTAATGTTATTACCTAGATACCTACAATCTACAGTACAACAAAATGTCACAAAACCTCGCCGCGTCGTGGCCACAAAATTGTAAACTTTAGGTAGGTACGTCAGTACTAAGAAAACAATCTTGATGGGTCACTTGTCTTGATAAAAACCTGTGCTTACGTTTAGTGATATTGAGTATATATTATAAAAAAAGCCAGGTAAGTAAGTATTTTTGAAAACAATTTATAGGTAGGCAGACCAATTACGATTATTATCTAAATATTATAAATGCGAAAGTTTGGATATTTGGATGGACGGATGAATGGATGTATGTTACTCAATCACGCCAGAACGGCTGAAGGGATCTGGATGATATTTTGCTCAGAGATAGGCTATAGTCTGGAATTTTTTTTTTCAAAAAAACGTTACCCCACACTAGGATTTTCTCCTGTAACGTGGAGGCAGTTTACAAACATCCAGACCCGGAACAATTATTTGTAGACCATACAAATACTTGTTCGATTGATTCGAACCCGCGGCTCCCAGTACAACAATTCATTGCTAAGCCACTGCGCCACGGAGCTGCCAAATATCATATATGATACCGTTTATTCAGGTATTTCGTTGCCGTGGGATAATTATCGAGTTACACACGTTCGAAGCCGAACTCTTGAGTGATTGCTGCATGACCACTCGGGGAAAACTAAACATAATAAAATAAGCAATCTATATTAGGTATATAGAGCCACAGAGGTATACCTAATAATTTCGCGGTTTCACCCGCGTTATCACGTGTCCGAGATGCGTGGCATGACATGACACCTAGTTCAAGCATTTTATAATTGCAATCAAATATTTTATTTGATTGTAATGTATGGAAAAATTGCCATGATTAATGGAGTACTTTTATTTTATCTGTCGGCATATTATGCGCGGTTTTTTCCAGTTTTAAAGAAAAACGTACACGATACATGAAAAGTGTGTAGGCAAGAAATGATTCTTGATAAATTTGCTATCAACCTCTTATACTTATTATTCAATTAAATTTAAACTTTCAAAATACCATAGCAACGTGAAATGAAAGAGTTCAGAAATAAAGATGTAACTAATCATTGCTACGCTCACCCGGGAGATAGATAAAAGTACTCAATTAATTTTGAATTTATTTTAGCTACTAGCTGTACCCCGCGACTTCGTCTGCGTTTAGTTTAGGGCATTAATTTTGTTGCAAAGACACCAAATAATTTTTCTAAAATTTAAGCAGGCTAAGTTACTTCTTATAACATGAGCTATCTACTAGTGAAAGTCCCGTCAAAGTCGGTCCAGCCGTTTTGGAAATTAACCGCAACAAACAGACTGACAGACATACAAAAATGTTAAAAATTGTGGTTATAAGTACCGTATACAGTTTCATACGCAATTAGTAAAAAGCTGTTATTTTGACATTACAAACAGACACTTCAATTTAATTTATTTGTGTAGATATAGATAACGATTGAACTAACGACTAACCTAACCTCGCTCATAGAAGCTTTCAATACTGGCTTCTCAGTTCGCACCGGGCTAGGGGTTATGCGTTGTTTGCGCGTCAAGCCAAGTAGGTATTGAATTATTTTAATTTTACATTATCTCTTAAACTATGTACTATATAAACATGGTATAAAGAACGAAGTTTATCTTCATAAAATTGTCTTGATAATGAAGTAACTTTGGTTCGTAAGGTGCCTAATAATTAAATTTTCATTTTTTTGTCACAAAATGCCTAATTGTGGCTTATATATAAGAAATAGACATATGTTATCGCGGACTTTTTTTAGACGGAGTAAAGATCTATATTTTTCTAGAACATTGTATTTACGTATCCCGAACCATAACAGCGCTTTTTCTTCTGACTTCCTTAACAAATATAGGCTAGCTGAGATATATAGCCTAATGCTGTATAGCCTATATTATTCAACATGAATCTGGCTATAATATCCAAAAAAAGATTTTTCAAATCTGACTGGTAGTTCCAGAGATTAGCACGTTTAAACAAACAAAAACCCTCTTCTGCTTTATTATATTAGTATAGATGTTGCATCGTGTTCGTGTAACTTCGTTTTCATTCTAACGGTTCGGAACACCGTACGAACAAGACATGCGTGAATACTAGTGTCGATATGCTCATCACTGATACTATCTCTGTCGGGCACGATGCCAGGTGAGACAGCGTGCTTTTTGGCCGCGCCCACCAGCGAGTTCGAGCCCGCGACTTGTGCCACCTTAAATATTATTATCTTCAGTTACGTTTTTTAAGTTTAAGAGCAACCACAGGCGTTACAAGCGCGCCCATTTGAAGGCTAAATACATTAAACAAATGAGCGGGAAAAGTAAGAATTAAAATTACCGCCTATATATTGGTCAGCTAGGCACAGGCCTCCTCTCACGTGTGAGAGGGTTTTAGGGCAAGAAAATGTCTGCCGAACTGCCCAAATATATGTTAGTTAACTTCAGAACATGTCTACGAATTTTTTTTATTTCTCGGACTTGATATTTTCTTCTCGTTTTCCTTCAGGGGAGAAGACTTGGTAAATCAGCACTCAAAATTGCAATTATCAATATCATTGACTACATCGATCCCAAACAACCCGGCAAACTGTGAATTTACAATAGTTTCAGTTTAAGACATCACACTGTAGTCTTTCCAGAAGACTAGGATAATCACAATGCGTGAATGTCATTACGAGTATATTTGGTTAGAAATTTATATTCTTCATTTTTTTTTATAGGAGAGGGGGCAAACGAGCATGCGGCTCACCTGATGGTAAGTGACTACCGTCGCCCATGAACAACTGCAACACCAGAGAGGGAATTGCAGATGCGTTGCCGGCCTTTTAAAAAGGAGTACGCTCTTTTCTTGAAGGTCCCTAAGTCGTATCGGTCCGGAAAAATCGCTGATGGTAATCGATTCCACAAGGAAGTCGTGCGAGGAAGAAAACATCTTCTAAATCGCACAGTGGTGGACCGCCAATCATCCAGATGGTGTGGATGGTATCGGGAGTTCTGCCGCAATTTCTTTTTGAAAGAGCAACATTGACTCTTATAACGTCTGAATATCTTATGGAGTTTGGGCATAATGTAAGAATACATTGTTCATTACGCCCATTTTGCATTATGTCCTTGAATTTTTTCAAATGTGTACATAGTTATTAGCCGGCTTCAAAAAAGGAGGAGGTTCACAATTCGAATGCATGTTTTTGATTTTTTTGTATGCATGTTACGCGATATTTTCGCCAATTGAGTCCCGATTTTGAATGTTTTTTTTTCTTTTAAGTTATACTTCAGGGGTAGTCCCAAATAAATTTGGAGAAAAAATCCACCCCTAAGGGTGAAAAAAAAATTCCTTTTTAGCTTTTTACTTCTTTAAAGTCGGCTTTAACTTTTTATTAAAAGGTATAATTATTAAAAATACTAAATTTCAGTTCATCTATCTATTATTTACGTGTAAAGCCAATTTAAATCAATTTGAGATTTTACAGCAGATTTGATGATCAGATCGTGATGATAGGTGAATAACGTTAAATTATATACATCACCTGAGATTCATTAATGGATGGTGGTGACATTTCTAATGTATAGTAACGTTTAGCGACACTCATTTTCTGTCCCAAGTTTGATTGCAGCACCTGATTTCTTTTCTCTGTAAATTAACACAAAAACCTAAGTATTCATAAGAATTTAAAAAGGGAAGGGGCAACAATAAGAAGCCGATTCGCATTAGAATTACAAGTACGTATATTTGAATTCCATTATACAGAGAGATATATTATATCTTAGAGTAACTGTAATTAGGCAAATATGAAAAATATATTTCATACCCAAAATAAGTCTTAACAGTTTTTCTTTACGTCTTCCAAACACTGGTCCTTCAGTTATTGTTGGCGCTAATCTGAAACCTTTAATAAGGATAAAAACAGAAGCGTTAGGATAATTTACATTATATTGAATTTAAACTTAGTGTTATAGTGTACATAATAATACGCTCGAATGTTTTTATGACGTTAAATAGACTTCACGGCGCGTCTATAAAATACCGGTTGTATTTTATAGTAGAGTGAGCGAGAGGTTGCATCACTCTAGCGGAGCGTCATATCGATGGTGGCGGGGTAGAATTGAGGGTAGATCGAGAAACCCCCACTCGTTTGTGCAGTATAAAGTTCACTGTAGGCGCTGTGCGTGAAGGATTCCGCCTAAGTCATTCCACGAGTGTTAAGACTCGTAGAATGACAATATCGTGGTTCTGCCCGTTGTAATAATTCTTCTAGTGCAGGCAAGGAGGATGGTGTTACTGAGAGGCTGCTCTGGGTAAAACTATAGACATGGGGAGGGGAAGGGCTCAGGGGAAGCACCCCTACCCTTCCCTCGTTGCGAAAATTTATAGTATATGAGTAATATTTTTCTTTTGTAAAATCATAACCTTACTTTTTTGCACAGGAATATTGACGCAAATTTACGTCTGCAACGGCTTCGGTGCTGCGGGAAGTGCAGCCTCTTCGCCCTTGCGTAGCAAATCACAGGCATCCATGCTCACCTCAGCCGCTACGGCTCACACAGGTGCCTGCATTTTACTACAGCGGGAGGGGGCTGCTCCCCTTCCGCGCCTACGGCTTTACAAAAACACTCTAGGGGTAGGGCAGACAAGACTACGTGGAGTCGGAGCGTTCTTGTTCGGTTTTAGTACAGATTTGACATATCTTATCTATAAAGTCAGATTGCCATAAACTACTATGATAGTGGTTAATGAAACAATGTAATGTGAATTGTTATAATTTTGTTTTCTGAAAAACCTCTTTGACTGCTCTCCACTGCAACTATAATAATAATAACAGAATTACCAACACCAATACACTTTAAGAACAGGAGAACAGATAGAACCATTAGAGGAACAAGATAGTTATAAATACCTTGGCTACACACAATCACAACAGATACACTATATGAAACTAAACAAAAACTAACACTACAATTTCAACATAGACTAAACACAATTCTGAAAACGCAACTATATTCTCGAAATACAATCAAAGCAATCAACACCTTCGCTATACCAGTTCTCACATATTCTTTTGGACCAAAACCGATCTGAAAAACCTTCAACGAAAAATTAATACCACAATGACCAAATTCCGCAAACACCACCCACGATCATGTCTGCAGAGATTAACACTGTCGCGGAAAGAAGGAGGTAGAGGACTAATTGATATCCTAAACCTACATAACAGACAGATAAAAGCACTCAGACAATTCTTTTTCTCAAAAACCGAATCCTCTATTCTTCATAAAATTATATCACAGAACGACCAAAACTTAACACCCCTAAATTTAAAAGATACAACTGAACAGAAAAATGAGAAAGTAATTGAGGACAAAACCAAGCTTTTAGAATGGACGCAGAAATCTCTACACGGAAGACATCGCCAAGACTTATGCCAGATAAATGTCGACAAAGAGGCGTCGAACGCGTGGTTAAATCGAGGCGAACTCTTCCCGGAGACTGAAGGGTTCATGCTTGCTATACAGGATCAGGTAGTTGAAACCAAAAACTACAGAAAGTTTATCATAAAGAATTTAAGTAATGACACATGTAGGAAATGCCATAGCTCTCCAGAAACGATTCAGCATATAACAGGCGCGTGCAAGTCAATAACCCAAACAGACTACAAACATAGACACGATCAAGTAGCCAACATTATACACCAAAAATTAGCATCCAGTACAAACTTATAGATTCCGTTACACCATACTACAAATACAATCCAGGAATTGTATTAGAGAACCCCTCAACAAAACTATATTTTGACCGCGCCAATCTTACCGATCGGACAATCCATTTCAATAGACCAGATATTACACTTATAAACAAGATAAACAAAACTGGATATTTAATAGATATTGCTATACCAAATACCCATAACTTGCAGACAACAATAGCAGAAAAACTGAGTAAATACACTGAATTAAAAGATGAAGTAGCCCGACTCTGGCATCTGCAAAAAGTTACAATAGTACCGATAGTATTGTCTACAACAGGAGTAATACCGAAACAACTCCACCAGTCCCTTAATTCCCTCAACTTACCTACAAATATCTATCATCTACTGCAGAAGGCCGCGATACTAAACACATGTAGACTTGTTAGAAAGTTTCTGCAATGTGAACCAGAAAACCCAGATCAAAACACAAATACGCCACCATTTTCTGTGCAATCTTCTACCGTATTTAATCCAACTGATAATCACTTGGCTTAGGCCCGTGTTATCAGCTCTTCCCGGCTTGCCGAGAATATAAAATCAAAAATAATAATAATAATAATTCTTTATTATCAAGAATAAATCACAAGAAATTTTATTTATTAAGTCTCTGACTCCTAAACTAGACGAGTGTATCTTAGGAATCAGCGGCCTCTCCCAGAGTTGTAACACAGGTAATACTAAAAGAACTATGCATGTTTTCATTGTTATAGTAGAAACAAAAGAAAAGTAAACAACTTTACAAATTTAACAAATTTACAAAATTAAATCAAAAAATAATAAAAGTTGTAATATAATAAAGTATTCTATATGTGTTATATTTAATACTAAACATCTGTACAATACATACATTTAATAGACATATATACAAGACGAGCACACACATATATATGTGTATATATACTTATATATAATTATTAAATATATATATATATATATATATATATATATATATATATATATATATATATATATATATACATATACATATAAGTTCATATATAAATTATGCATAAACATAAACGAAACGTTAATATTAATTGTCCACACATTAATCACTTCCCTGTTTTTGTTTATTTATTTTGAAACTATAAATTAAATTAATAAATTAAATTAAATCAAATTAAATTAATAAATTTTCTGTTTTATTGTAATCTAACGACAACAACCAATCACGAACTCTAATTTTACACTCGTGTTTTGAAAGAGGATAGAAATTTAGAATTTTGTTAAGTTTGTTATAGAGTACTATAGAGAGATATGCGCTTTGTCGTCTCGTAAAAACTGCGGCATCTAAACGGTGCTAGTACGTTGGGTATTCTACGTTTATTACGACAAATCTCAGGGTCGTAGGGAGTGCGATCGTGTTGATTGGTGATCAAATTTTGAACGTATAATTGCCTGACAGACAGCAACTTGCATTCGCTGTATAATAATTTTGTTGAGTATCTATAAGGTTTGAAAGTCATAGTTTTTAGTAAACATATTTGTGCTCTTTCGAGCTTAATTAAAAAACTTTTGCACGATCCTCCCCAGACACTTATGCAATAGCCTATAATTGATTGTGCTAAAGTAAAGTATACTGTGCGCAATAAATCAAAATCAGCAATGTGTCTTAGCTTTTTAAATGTCCAAATAAGTATACGAGTCCGGGATGAAATAAGATCAATGTGTTGGAGCCAGCTAAGTTTTTCGTCTAACAACACACCGAGGTATTTTACAGTTTTAGATCTAGTTATATTAAGGCAAGAGCATTTGTCTGTTGACTTTAGATCACAAAAATGTACTTTCAGTTCAATATCCTCAACAGCTGGAGTATTGGAAATACGGAACTGTAAGTACGTTGATTTAGATACGTTTAGTGTTAGTAAATTGTCCTCAAGCCATTGTGCCACACATTGGAGACCCCTTTCAGCAATCACCTGAACATCAGCCTAAGTCTCTCCATAAAATATTATAGCCGTATCATCGGCATAAGTGAATAATTTGCCATGTATTAATGGGATACGACAAAGGTCATTAATATAAATTAAAAAGAGACTTGGCCCCAGGATACTTCCTTGAGGGACACCAAAAGTGACACTAGTATCAGAACTGATGAAGTTTTTAATCTTAACTCTCTGCACTCGGTGACTTAAGAAGCTTTTAAAAATAGAAAGGGCCGAATTTCTAATTCCGATATTTTCCAATTTGTGTATAAGAATGGGAATCGAGACGGTGTCGAAAGCCTTTGCTAAATCAAGAAAAACACCCAAACATTTTTTTTGTTTGTCCAACTTATTGGTTACAAATTCTGTCAAGCCTTTTACCGCATCTTCTGTGTTATTACCCGTTCTGAAACCGAATTGCGTGCTTGATAGAATATTGTATTTGGTCAGGAATTTTACCAAACGGTTATTCAACAGCCTTTCCAATATTTTCGAAAGAGCTGGCAGCATAGAGATAGGTCTGTAGTTTTCGACATGTTTAGAGCTCCACTCTTGTATACAGGAGTAATGAGAGATCTTTTGAACACCTTTGGAAAGCATCCTTGTTCAAAACAAATTTTAAAGAGATTGGTAAGCGGTAATATAATTATATCTTTTATCATTTTAAGAAAAACGGCAGAGATAAAATCCCACCCAATAGCACAATCATTTTTAAGACTTAACAAAGTTGATTCTACCTCCGTCTCGTCAGGTGGATAGAGCACAAATGAGTTAAGAGATCTGTGGGTCGAACTTGTAACTGTACGTTGACCACGATTTGCAATCATTTTATCTGCTAATTTTTTACCTAGATTAGAAAAATAATGATTCGCTCTCTCAACTGAAACCGTAGGATTTTCCCTAATTAGATTATCAGCTAATGTATAATAACAATGTATAATAATAATGTATAATAACTCAATTCGCTGTGTATGAGTTCCATCTTCAGCCACAAATAGATTGTCTGGGTCCAAGTAATTAACGTTTTTATGGGTAACCCGTTTCGTTTTAAGCAATTTTTGTTAAAATTTATTTTTATCATAATTAATTCAAAACAAATTTCCGTAATCCAAAAACAGTATAAAAGGTTGTAGCTTAACCCTGACATACCTCCTAAACTGAAAACGTAATTAAAATCAAGTACTCAACGTCACTTCATAATACTTGATCAAATTGACATATTTGCGTTTCGTTATACGCAATTTTTAGTGAAATTTATTTTTATCGTAATTAATTCAAAACGCTTTTCCGATATCCAAATACTGTGTAAAAAATTCAAACGTAACCCTGAAAAACCTTCTAAATTGTAAATATAATTCAAATCAAGTACCGGACGTCTATAGTCAACCCCTGCTCTGTGTTACAATGAGATGGGTAGTGTTGCTGTTGGTTTGCATACTTTGGTGTTATCATGTAATTACCTCACACTAATGTGTAATTGCGACGGGGACATATTAGCGTATGGTCGAACTATACTTGACTGAATGTAAAGTGCAGTACGCTGTTTTATTGCTGATAATGATTAATTGCGTAAGTAGGAGAGCAAGTTGAACATCCGCACTCACTCTCACACTATTATTATTTTTAACAATTAACCTTTTGATGTATTTCCGAGAGATTTTTACATCACACTGTGTCACACACGGAACCGGTGGGCACACCGTAATGTGCAATATTTGCCGAACCACTTTGAACCCCACAGCAGTTCTCAGTGTTCTGATTTTAAGTATGCCTGTAACCAACCTAGCATTTTGACAGGTCCCTTGAAAAGCTTGACATTTTTTTTATGGACGCCTAAAAAAATGCGACCTAAGGAAACTATAGACTAAAAATGCCCATCAAATTTCATATGATCCAGCTATTATTTCTTAAATTAATTCGCATTTTTTTGATATCATCACAAAGCGTTTCATATGCAACTTTAATCAAAGAAAAATATTTTTTACACTTACGGGTTATAATATTCGTTACTTTCGTAATATTCATTTCAGTTTTTTTTAATTAATGTAGAAAGACTAGAATTCTCAAATTTTCGATAATATCGCAATATCACACAATCAATGATTATATTAGTTTCATTAGTTTGTCAGGAAGACTGAAGATCATAAACAACCAACAAGCAACTCTGAAATTATTTGTAAAATAATCGATGATTGTCGAT